CTGAAGCAGGGTCACCTACAGCAGGCTGCACAGGACCTTGTCCAGGCGGGTCTTGAATATCTCCAGAGAAGGAGACTCCACAACCTTCACTACCCCCTTTCCGAAGCCCGTATGTGAACTGTTGTTGACACTAAAAATGCTTGATGTGAAGAAAGGCTGATTTTTGTGTTTGTGATTATGCTGCAGGGAATGACCATCCGTCCTCTCGTTGACTTGTTGGCTGTCAAGAGGAAAAGAGAGAGTGCTCCTACAGTGGGAGAGCAGATCCATATTCGGGTAAGTGACGCATCCATCAACACATGGCCAAAGCTTTCCAATATGCTTTGTTGACAGCAGTATGGTCCTTCTGAAATGTGGTGTGCCTCCAGGGACTCTGCAGATCTGCAGTTTTACATGAATCCTCTGCAGGTCAGTCCCTTTCCAGGTTTGCAGTCCTAAACACCTTCCTAACCATGGGTTATTATTTGCATTGGAATAGCAGCCACCATCTCAGTCAGGCTGGTGTTGCATTAGGTGGTGCACAAACACGACAGGAAAAGATAATCATGCACCTGAAAGTTTATACTTGAACCCAATGCCAACTTTTTAACTTCTCTGAAAAGAGTGAAAGAAAGCAAATGAGACTTGATTGCTTTCAGGGTTGGAATATTCCATGTGTTCACCAGTCACTTCACCATCGTCAGTTTGGATATTTTTGCAAAAGAGTTTAGAAAAGGGAGGGTAAGGAAAATGCTGTATTGGAAGGAATTGCCAAAGTCACCGTGACGTAAAGGTGGAATTTAGTTCGCCTTGCTCTGGACATCCAAACTTTGGCCTTTTTAGTTACGAGAAGACTTCTCCAGAGAATGGGTCAACTCCATGAGAAAGCAAGTTACTCTGCACACCTAGGTGAGGCTTTGCATTGCTGGAGGGAAGCTTGGCTGGAACCCACCGCAATGCTGTCAGTGCGCTGAGGAACACATCAGAAAGGCTTTGCGCCAGGTCTCCTTCAGCCTGGGACATGCAACCTGATAGGGAGCTGTGGCCTGGGGTTTTTAATGAGGTGATGCCCGGCATCCAGTGTAAAATAATTTTTCTGAATCTAATTGCTTGTGCCTAGTCACATTTCAGTAGGTACGGCTCCTGCAGGAATATTTTTGTTTTCTTTTTGGGTAGCTAGGAATGAAGACATTAGTTCTGAGGACATTTATAAAAACTGTTTGGCATCCTCACAATTAGGTTGTATTACAGAGCTTTGTCTGAGGTGAACAGAACAGTTCAACAGGCTGAAGAGGCTTTTCCTATCAGGAACAGAGAAGACTTTCTTCTTTTGTTAGTGTATGAATAGTGAGTCGTCTCTGGAAATGTGTTTATTAGGAGATGTGAGCTGAAAATGGCGAGGTACCAATTAAGTGGAGAAGGTAACAATGCAGATAGTTTGGAAGCCAGGCACGCAGAAGCCAGAAGCAGCTTTCTTCCTCAAGTCTATTTCTCCGACTGGGTAGTTGGGAGACCCTTGCTTGCAAGAGTGATGATCAGTAGAGGGTCGCTTGTTGGTCCTCAGACCACACAGCTGCTCGTAGCAAGTGTGAGGACTCGAAACTTGTACCGGGCTGCAGAGCTGAGTGAACAGTGCTGAAATTTTTCTGTCTCTGAACCCCCGGAAAATATTTTTTTAAAAAATTCGAGCTGGAGGAGGAAGCTCCAGGGACATTGGTACCTGAGTGTGGAGGGCTATTGACCCGCGGTACAGCGGAGACCTCTCCCAGATCAGAGATGCCAGCAGGAGGGGAAACAATTTGGGAAATTAGAGATATAACTTCCAGGTGGAAAAATCAACCTGTCTGGGATTTTTAATATGATTTTAAACAATAGTAATGTTTTTGTATAAGGCGAGATCTGGCCAACGATTTCATTCCCTGGGAAGTGTCTGGGGGGAAGCGGTATTTATTATTCAAGCTGAAGCATCATTTATGTTATCTGGATCTGTATCCTGAAGATGCTGATCTCCTGAGACAAATCGTCCTCAAAAACCCCAATATGAGCGTTTCCTGCTTATCAAGGCCCGATATGCAGGACATGCATATCCTGCATATTGGACATGCATCAGCCGTCCTATACATATCACAAAGAGCAGATCCACGTCCCGCAGTCGTTATTCTTCGCTCGCACAGACCTGAAAGCAAGCAGCCAAACCACTCACTGTGCTCCAGAACCGAGGGATACGAGTGGATGACTGGATGGGGAATTAGGCCAACATCCCCTCTCCTTGTTTACCGGCGTTATGTACCACCCTGACAGCATCCCCTGTTCTGTCTGCTGGCTTTTGAGGTTTGCTGACTGAGTTCATCACGTATGCAATACATGCGACCGGTGTATAACAAAATCCTCTCCTCTGTTTAGTTCTTGGATCATTTGCTGGCTGGCATTGAAGATATATCTGGACACTGGGGACAGTATTACTGGAAAGACAAGTAAGGATTTGCCAAAATACAACTGTGTACATGTGTAGAAAAAAAAAAAATCAGGCTGGTTTCTATTCCCTGAGTTTCCACTGTGGGCAGCTGAGCCTTGTTTGTCCTTCTGGCACAACCCAGGTGACAAAGGGGTAGCTTTTCCTTGTGCAAGGTGAGACCAGTTTCTTGGGGCGCTTCCCCACACTTGCAGGTCACGCATTGTGCTTCACCCTAAAAAGACTCCTTTCTTCTCTCCTATTGTGTTTGCCCCTTCTTGTCCAAAGAAATCTGCTGGAAATGAAAGGGCCATGCCCTCCGGCCATGTGGGAGCTGAGGACCCCAACCCCGTGTGTGCACAATTAACATTACAAATATGTGCTTGCAGCAATTGGAGGGACAACTGCTCATTGTGGACTTGACAAATTACAGACGGTCTCTACAGATTTCTGTAGCAAAGTGCTCAGTTTTCGTTAAGTACTGGTAGATTGTACACAGAGGAGAATTTATTTTTTTATAAATACAAATATCATAAAATATACTAAGACAATCTTCCAGGTTTAAATCCTTGGCTGTGCAGACACAGATGCAGTTGGCAGGGGTTTCCTTAGGAATGCCAGTGCTTGGAAGTGCCACTAGAGGGTATGGGAATCGCTGCTGCCGAGGAGCATCCTGGCTGCTTGCGAGCAAGCTTGGGAACAGCCAACAGCAGCCAAACTTGAGCCTCGGTATTTGATACCAGCTGGACCTTTCCCAAATGTTGTGCCGCGTTTGAGCCGAAAGCGAGAGGAGATGGCTCAAGAGAGAATCTGGAAGTGTTTAAATCGATTGCATCCCCTGAGGCTACTGCATGTACTTGTAGCACTTAGAGTAGAATTCATGAGAAATCTGGCAGTTTGGGGAGGTTTTGCTGTATTTGGCAAAGTTTTAATATCTTGGCTCATGTAATGTAGCGCAGAAATAATTAGGGACTGACCTCTGGGGCCATTGGTTTTTGGAAAGAAGGTAATGGGATATGGGGCAGTCGTGGACTATGAACCTGCTGGCTTGCTCAGGTCTGTGTAGGTCCTGGGGAGTCGTGGGAGGAGGCTGAGCACATCTTTTTTTGTTCTCAAACAGATTAGAGTATTTCAACAGCAAATACCTGCAGAAGATCCTACTTCGAGAACACGACCAGCCAAAATCAAGTATCGTGCTTCTCTACGAGAAGCTGGAGCGGAAGCACGCCATCGAGCTGGCAGAAGCGGGGCAGCTGGGTCATGCCCAGTCTCACCCGTCCTTGCTGTAAGTGCTCTCCTTTCCCGTCGCTCCTCCCAACCCTCCCACCGGAGGGGAACAGTTATGAAAAGCTTTTGTAAACTTCTTTGCTCTTCCCTGCTGGGCTGTCCCGTGGGAAGAAGGAGCATAGCTTAGACAAAGGCAAAGTAAAAGCTATTTAAAGATTAGTAGGTGGGTATTAAAAGTGATCAGGTAGATGAGCAATCTGTTGGCATTGATGAGCGCAGTTTCTGTTCTTGCACATGGAGGCTCACCTGTATCCCTCCCAGAGTTACATGGAAACGGTGCTCTGGGGAAGAGGCACTTGCACCATTTCTTGATGATTTTACACCATTACGCCTACTGGAGGGACCAACAGCAAGAATAAGCATCGGCAGGGAGAACAGGGTCAAATATTTGCGTGTCAGAATGGCCATCTCATCTTTCCCACGTGTTTCTGCTCCACCACAGCTCTTTTATCTGCCGGGGAGCACATGGATGGCACAGCTCTGAGGCAAACACCAAGCACTCCTTCTGCAGTGAGCTCCATCTGCAAGGGTTAGCTCTTGGTCGTGTCCACCGGTGGTGGGATCTGAAAGGGCTGCTGTGAATGCTGGGCTCTGGGGATGCACTGGTAGTTGTGCTGTGCATCTTCTGAAATAAGGGGTTCCGGTTTTCTTTGCAGCAACAACGACAGGACTGTCACAGCGGACAAAAAACTGGAGGATACTCTGAATCTGAATGTCCTGGAAAATATACAGGAAATATTGGCAAGGAACCTGTACCAAATAAGGAGAACGGTATAACTGCCCTCAATTTGTATTTTAGGTGTCCAATAACAAAAGTTGTCTCAGTTATCCTAACAGCCTGAGCAGATGTTGTGAATATTTACAGAATTACTAACGATGCCTCTTTGTGAGCAGAGAATAGTTGGCTGTGTGAAGCCAGATCCAGTTTCCAAGTCGGTGGCACTTTTCTGTTTGCAGCGTGACAGCTTTTGAAAGGTTCACCCAGTCAGCCTATAATTTCGTGAGGTATTTTAGGCGTTAGTACCCAGAACCAGAAAGGAGAAAGGAGGAGCACGTGGATCTTGAGGCATCACGTTAGCAGATCCAGCAGTTGCAACAGCTCCTGGGGTTGTGCTCACGTTGCATTTCTTTCCCGTAGAAGAGAGCGCAGTCAGTGAGCTGCAAGTGGGAATTAATCTGCAGGGGTTTTAAAGCCGCTCGGTGGTTTTGCCGTGAAACTGGTACAACTGGTAAATAGCACAGAAACCACTTGCTGTTTACCGAATAACTCATGAATAATCAGTCTGAGGTTTTACCCAGCACCTTGGACTGTGCGTTGTATTTGCTGTTCACATGGTGATACGTGGAGCCTTATCCTCAAAATCCACCTAAGCCTTTGTTTTATGGATTATGCACGAACCAGAGTCCTTGGGGATGCGGCTGGTGTGGGCAGCTCAGCACAGAGAGGGTTCAACCACCCCCTCCCGTCCCCTTGCTGAGCCGAGAGAAGCAAGTAGATGAGGCTGGGAGGAAACCTGTACAAGTGGTGAATGGGATGAAGAAGGCGTACCTCCTGTTTGCATTTACTCCTGCCTAAGCCCAGCCTCACCCCCTGTAGTGACAGAGTTATCCCAACTCCCACTGGTGTTAGTGGGAGATTTAACTTTGGTTTACAGCTTTGAAGCAGGATTTATAGTTCCAGTTGATTGCGTGATTTACGTGTGAAGGTGGGGCTGATATTGGAGCACTGGGCAGAGGCGCTGAGGATGAAGACACCTCGAATGTAGTGGTTGCACTAGGTTGCTGTGTCACCTGGACTCATAGAGAACCACCTCAGTCTTGTCATTCAGTGATCGCTTGGGTAATTTTGCACAAAGAAGCAGAATTTGGAGTCCCCCAGTTTACCCCCATAACTAGGCAGGATGGTTACAGGGGGTGAAGGACCCTGGAAGGCGCAGACACTAGTGAAGGGGTGCTGCTGTGGAGGTGGGGATGGTCCCACCTCCAACGGCAATCTCTGGTGCAACGTGCAGGGGCCGGCGTACAACAGGCACACCCTTCCCGGAGAGACCGAGCCTGTGGAGCACGCCAAGGAGTTCCTGATCCTCCGGCACAAGGGCCTGTGGGTGGAAGTGAGCGGAAGCGACACGGCCAGCTCCAGGAAGGAGGTAAGAGGGAGCAGGGAAGGCTTGGACCTGAGGAGACCAAGCACAGGCTGCTTTTCCCATGCAGGTAGAGCAAGTGCTAGGAATAGTGCTGTTTATTGTTGGTGGTATTTCCTTTTAAAGACAAAGTTTGTTGCCTCACATTAAAAAAAAGGCGTCTTGATCCTAAATTGCATTCCAGTGAGTAGGAAATCCAGAGGAGGGGGCGGGGGGGGACCTCCAACCCAACTCCTGGCAAACAAACGAGCCATCGTGGGTGCAGCGCCATTCAGTGCTTTGTGAGCACAGGCTTCCATCCGTGCGAGGAAAGCTATTTACTGAGCAAATGTTATTAATTGGGCTTCAGTCTGCGGATTCAGAGGTCTGTTTTTCCCATGTTTTCAGAGAGATTCATCGAAGGCAGGAATTTGGTTCACCTATTGTCAGCCGTCCAGATGGACGGTAAATATTTGAAACTGTTTGGTGTTTTTTTCCCCCCAACGCTTTTGAAAGGACAGAAGCATTATTGTGAGCTTTCTTATTTATTCTGGAGGTGAGTGTTTTGTTTTTAAAAGCAGCTACGGTTCTGGGCAAACTTGAAGAATGTAAAATAGAGGGAAGTGTTGGCATACTGGATTCCTGGGAGAACCACTTTGTGTCTGAATTTGCTGCTGGTGCAGCTCCACATCGGTTCATATTCTGAATTAGAGGAGAAACAAGGTAAATACAATGTCTGTGGCTGGTGACGGCTTTTGCTGGCTTGTTTGGAAATCAGTAAGAGAAGCTGGGCAAACGTTTCCCTGTGGAAAGATGAAATGGTCCAGGCATGGTGCACGAGAAGCAGGCTTGGTCTTTTCAGTTCCTCCCACCCTCTGTAACTCTTATGCTAGAGAAAAAGCAGCTAAGCCCCCTCTTATCTTGCTCCCACGCCCGCAGGTCAGCAGCAGTAGTTGCTGGGCCATCTCTAAATTTGATGCACTTCTCTGCATCTTAGGTTTCGATGGCTTGAGCTGGAGCACTGTCCGCAGTGCAGACTGGGGTCGCTAGTCTGGGCAGCAAGACTCCATCGCGAAGGAGAACAGAATGACCTTTTAAAAAGAAATAATTTATTTTTTCTTTATTTAGATCATAATTTTCCATGACAGCACGAGAACTCGGGACTGCTGCAGGCTTGCTTCCACTCTGATTTCTTTGTTCAAATGCCAGTCAGTAAAGAGCCCACCGAGAACAGCAGTAACGCACCAAATGCTGCAGCTTCTCAGCCCTTCATTCACAGAAAGGTGTTCCGGCTCTTGCAAACAACTTAAAAGATTTAATTTGATCATTTACATGCTGATTGGTACTTACAATTCAAAATAGATAGGCAAGAACATGGCATGTTCCCGTAGAACATTTGGTATAATTAGACTTCAAAAGAACAACATCAAACTAGGGCTGATTTTGAGCACGGCGTCACTTACTTTGAGGACATTTGATTGTTAACCCTTGTGCTCCTGCTTTCCCCTTCACTGCTGCTCCCATGGGGTGTTGTGGTGCGTTTGGTAGGAAATTTAACACCTTTCTCCTGTTTCTTTGAATGCTTACAGCTGGCCTTTCAGAGGACAGAGCATCTGGGGGGCAACTGCAAAAGCAGTAGGATTCACTGTCTCTATACTGACTTGTGGATGGTGGCTGATGCCCTATGGGGGGGGAATGCTCCTCTGGATTATGCAAAATGCCAATTTGATGCTGAGCGCTGCTGTCTCGTAGGAGTCATTTGTTGGTGCTCATTGCACCTCTTTGCAACAGCTACCTTTGCTTTGTGCTAGTCCAAGTGAAGCAGGTCTAAACATGGAGAACTAATTCCAGTGACGTCTGTAAGGATGGTTCTAAGCCCAAGAAGCCTCCCTCCACACCCACAAGGAGAAATCAGGCATTCTTTCTGTGATCAGCATCTTACCTGCTAATGTTTTAGATAGCTGCCTCATTTTACTGCGAAATGAAATAAGGCAATACTTGAAAGTGATGGGATAATGTTCTGCTGGAGCCCTGGAATATTAACATGAGGTGAGAGGGTGGGTGAACGCTGTTACTTCATGCTGTAGGAGGACAGATTGCAGAGTTTGTCAGCAGAAGGAAGGAACGCTCTGCTAAAAAGTAGATTTCAGCCCCTTAAAAACAGCTCAGTATTTTAAATTTTTGGGAAAAAAAAATTAAGCCACTTAGGTTTAGTTTCATGCCACATTGACAAGCAAAAGGCACTTTCCTGTTCAAAAAAGAGATGAATGAAAAATATAGCTAGGTAGTGTCTGAGAGTTTCTAATTGTCACATACTCCATCTTTCGTAGTCCAAAAGGGGAGGGTTTGGCCTTACAGGTTTTGAGTCAGCAAGAAAAAACGAGACACTCTTCTGTTCTGCGTTTCACCACGAGATGGAAGCATTACAACTGTGTTTGCAAAGCCAGCTGGAAATCAAGGCACTGTGGCACAAACTTCAAGCAAAGGGCTGCTGGAAACCCTCCGGTGCTGGGGAAACGCCTGCGCCGTCTTCCGTTGCTGGTCTGTTGGGAAAGTTTTGGCGACACATTCAATCGGTTAGGTGTTATGAGCTGGGGGAATAATTAAAAATATCCCTTTGGTTCAGTAGAAACAATGTTTTTCTGCTCGCTGACTGTCTGCGTAGGTATTTTTCTTTTTTAGTGAAGTTGCTTAGTCCTTTGTCATTAAAATATGAAGCTGATGTAGCTCAGTTAGATTAATCTTGTGATTCATCAGGTGCTGGTTGGTCTTTTCCCCCTGTATCAACCAACTCCTTTAGCCCTCCAGAAAAAAATATTATGTTGAATACTAAACCAAGTTTTATTTGCGTTTTTCTGTAGGTCTGTGTCTCTACCAGGCTGGGGAGGAAGCCAAGAGTGAAGTTGTTCTCACCTGATGGACAACCTGTCTCCTTCCACAGTTGGTGCGGAGAAACCAGTGCCCTGGCCAGGACAGGCACTGGTCCATGGCCAACACCAGTCTTCAGGCAGGACAAAACACCTCTTCTCTCTAACCTGGGTGGCTTTAGGTGCCTTAGGTGGTCTACCTTTGCTTTTGCAGTAGTGAGGGATGACTCTTAGGCTGGGTTAGAAGGCCCTTCCGAGGAAAGGTTGGGGAGTGAATAGGGATGGCAGAGAGAAGAAGTAAGAAAAGAGCAATCCTCATCCCTCCCAAGCCAGCGGCGCAGGTTAAATGATTTACACCAGGCAGAAAAACGTTGGCAAGACTTAGGAGGTGACTTCAGATCTGAATTGTAGCCCAGAGGATTAACTCCAAGACTATCTATTTCCAGCAGAAAGCTCGCCTTCCTCCGCCTGAGGACAGAATTCCTGCCGAAGGCTGCTGCTTCCTGGAGCTGTGCATCGCGCTGCCTCTGAACGCTGTCCGGATTTTGGGCTTGCCGTATTTTCGGCAAGGATCCAATGCAGCGTACCCCGGCAGGGCGGTTTCTGAGACCCAGGAGAGCTTTTATTTACCACTGAGCACCCAGAAAATCCTTGCACCTGTAGCCAGGCAACTTGGTCCTCTTTTCTGCTGCCAAAACACCAGTACGCTCCCCCAGAAGGAGCTTATTTGGAGCTGCCTGTGAGCCGTGTGCGTCAATGACATACGGCCTTTGGTAATTATGTCGGAGCC